TTAGTCTACATGTATGTATCATTATTAAAATCTGCAACAGAAGTGTTGTGGAATTTTTAAAAAATGAGTCAAGGAAAGTCCTGATGCAAAAATTTCCCCTTATTTAAAAATAAAGCGCACCAATCAGTATGGTTGAAATTTTCCTTGTGTTTAAACTTTCAAATCTCATGATTTGTGAGAACATGCCACAGAATATAATGTAACTCCCCTTAGAGTTCACTTTCAGTGTGATGAAGGGGGAGTTTCTGTGGAAATCTTTTTTGGAAGAGCTGGACAAGCCAAGCAGCATTCTCTGGGTATTTTCAGTTTACTTCTTTGGTTTTTTTTTTTTTTCCTTGCAAAGTATTTTTCTGAATAAATGAAACTCACTTGTTTCTCAACTGGATTGTATTCTATTTTAATGTTCTGTATCTATATTTAACAAAATGTTATCAACAAAACCTTATGTTTTTCTATATTCTATCCATGACTAATTTAAATGGGTAATTCTTCTACTTGGAAAATTTTCATCTAATATGTAGATTTGTTTTAAGACCAAAGTCTCCGTAATCTTTTTCTCCTTCACTAATGGCATTTTATATACCAGCCAATTCACATAAATATTAAAAACATGGATGGGGCCAGAGATTCAGCTCAGTGGTGCCACACCTGTGCAAGGTCCTGAGTCTGATCCCCGATACCGAAGGCGGGGGGGATAAATTCCTACTTCCTAGAGGAAGAGCAAATCTATCCATCTCTTAATTATTTTGTTTTGACTATTTAAATCATTCCAGGTACTTACAATCCATGTCAAACATTTGTCAAAAACAAATTTTTAGAGCTTGAGGGAAAAATAGTGATTAATATTATTACAAGTATAATCTGTAAATTGTGGATACTATTTTAAAGAAAAGGATTCAAAATACTCTTTGCAAAGATTTATTATTAGACAAATGCTGTATGGTGTACTCATATTACTAAAAATCATTATTACTCCAGCAAAATATACTACAGGACAATGACTAGGACATTATGATATAATTTATCAATAATTAATACTAAAATACTCTTACTAAGATACAGAGATAATTTGAGGGTGCCTGGAATTATAGACCTCATATTTGGATGAAGTCCACTGATGCAATCCATTGAAACAACTCCCTGTTATTACAGCTGAGTATATCATTGAGAAAACTGAGGACCAGGTAGGCAACTTCCAACGTCATCCAAAAATTTACTGGTAGCTATAGAGCAAGGATATACAGATAAATTTTTGCTCCAAAGAATTCATGATGAGTAAAAATGAGCCAGGCTCTGTGTTACTTAATGGCTGTGGGCAGAACTTTACCTCTGTGAGCTTTAGTTTCCAATCTGAATAAAGGACACGATTATTATTATTCTCAACCATTGTTGTGAGGGTCATTTGAAGTAACTGTGTAAAAGCACCTTATAAACACAACAGTATCACTAGCGGAATAGTAATGAATATTTTGGTATCTAAAAGAGAGCAGTCATTAATGAGCTCCACAAGAAGCCAGAATGTTATGGTGTCCCTATCAGAAAGCACTTTCCTTCTCACTGAGATTAAAAACGACAAATATGGACAGCCCCTGGGTTTCTTAGATTGCCTTAAAAACAGGAAATTGGTTCTTGCAAATCAATACTTACTCTAGCTCTAACTATAATTTGAACAGCTGTTTCATCTATCTTAAATAGAACTAGCTTTACCACTGAAATCTGAGCATATTCCTTGTGACTGACAGTTCTTTCCTGAAGCTATAACTGAGCCTGTTGGATAAAGGTTAATTGCTAACTGTGCAGTGCTAATGATACCACATTGATGAAATTACAGGATCACAGATAGAGAAAATGCTCCTAACACACTGGAAACTGGAGGGAAGCTTTAAATAACAGTTATTGATTTGTTTCTCTGAAGGCCACTAAGTAGCACAAACTACTTAGAAGAACAAAAATTATCCACAGGGTTTCCATTCATTTATAATTCATTTCTCAGCTTCTAATTTTCTACCTGCCAATAGCCAATTATAATTTCAATAATTACATGTCTCAAAATAATAGTTTATACCTTAGAGAAAGAAACACTGCAAATTATTCTTTTATTCCCGTGTATCGAGTAAGATCTCCTCTGTTCAGTGTGTGTTTTAAAGCATAATAATTTATGCATCAGGCAGCAATTTTCAGACTTCATGGCTTTCAGACAAATGACAGACCCAAAGAGTAGTGGGTTGAAAGTATCTGAAAACAGTTATCTTCAGAAACTACCCCATGATCCTTAATTCCCCAGTTAGTCTTCACTTCTGGCTGGATTTGGCCCTAGAATTCATCTCCAGGACTCATCCCAACTGGCAGTAAATTGAGTCCTACTCCCCCAAATGATGCTTTCCTCCAATATTATTTTCATCACTGTCAACATACATTGAACCAGGAGCTCAAACCAACCTCTGCTGAATTTTACACACACTGTGTCAGGTAATTTTATCCACCCTAGGTACTCAGTATTATCATCTCCATCTGAGAGTTGAGGAAACTGGAAATCAGGAAAGTTAATAAGCTCCTTAACTTCAGAGTTAGTGGTGTCAGAGCCAGACTCAGACTTTTGCATCTGTGTAGGCTCCCCAGGGCCACGGTTTAGAAAATATTTCTCCTTTCTACTTGCCCAGTTTTTTCTCCCAAAGTTTTTAAACTAAGAAATTCATTTTTTGATTAAACTTATTTAGTCCACCTCAGAGATTCCCTACCAAGTCCTCTTGTGGTTGCAAATTTCCTTTAAAGGAAAAACTGTTCCTCTAAAATCATAACACTGACACCATGGTTGTGCTTATCCCAAAAAGAGACAATTCTCCAGTTCTCTGCAGATACCAACTGCATGTCTTACAATGTAGTTTTATTTTGTCTCTAACCAAATGGAGGCAGGGCAGACCCCACAGATTAAGGGCTCAGTCCCACAACACATTCCCCCACTTCAGATACCTATGGCAAAAGTGAGTTCTGCGATTCCTCATACTTCCTGTCGGTCTTGGCTACTTATTGGGGTTCACATAACACCCTCCTCAGTTTCAATAACATGCTACAGCAGCTCACAGAAACACTTTATGTACAATTACCAGTTTATTATAATAAGAACAAATAAATAAGCAGCTGAAGAGGTAAAGAGGGCAAGGTCTAGAAAGGTCTTGAGCCCAAGAGTTGTCCCCAGAGATGGGGGTTATGCCACCTCCCTGGCATGTGGTTGTGTTCACAAGCCAGAAGCTCTCTGGACCCCTTCATGTAGAATTTCATGGAGGTTCCATTACATCAGCATAATTAAATCACTATCTCCAGCCCTTCTCCCAAGAAGTTGGTATGTGGGGCACAAAGTTCCAATCCTCTGAATCACATGGGTGGTTTCTCTGCAAGAGTCCCCACCTGGAGGGCAGGGCTCACAAGCATAAACCCAGGCTGAAAGGACTTGTCATAAGTAACAAGACACTCCTTCCACTCCTGTCACTTGGGAAGTTACAAGGATTTTAAAAGCTCTTTGCCAGGAACCAAGGGCAGAGACCAAATATATATTCTTACTATGTCACATTTGATTTTAAATACCGGGCCAGCATTTGGTATAAATTTGGATCGTATATTACTCAAGATTGTTCACTTACACCTAGAAAGGATAATGAAGGAAAGAGAAATGATGAGTAGGGTCAAAGAAGAAAGGATTAATTTGTTATAATTTAGGGACACCCAGGTGATCTTCACAAAGAAAATGAGATTTTGGCTGAAACTTAAGCTTCATCTCCTAAGGGAATCAAATTTACTATATTTCGTAATCCAACTTTCAAGCACTGGAATTGAAAGATACAGAAAATATTCTACTAGCATGTATTGCGGAAAAATAGAATTATATGAATATTCCAAATAAGGCACAAAAATCTATTGGAGATTAAAAGCCAAGCTTTATCAATCTGTTTTAAATCTGTCTCTTTAATGCTTTAGATCAGATATAGTCTGAGGTGATGACTGAATTAGGAAGAATAGAAAACAAAAGGCAACATTCTCAAGTATCAGGCATTTCACAACAAAGAACTTTGCCATAATGAAATTATGAGAAGTAGATAATTAAACCTACACACACAACTGTGACACATACATTAATGAGTTCTTTAGTGAGTATTTAAGAGTTCTCCCCAGCTGTCCTTAGTTCTTTTAGCACTGGTGAGAAGGAAAAAATTGCTGCAGTCATGAAAACAGAATTCCCCAGTTAGATGGGACTTATTTTTAGTCTAGCTTAATGACATCCTAGTATATCATGAAGGACACGAAGATCCAGTGGAGTTAAATGATGGTACAAGATGTCAAAGCCATTTAGTGACTGTGTCAGTGACGTAGGATAGAAGAAGTAAAGACAAGGTAGAAAGAAGAAAAGGAAAATCATAATTTTTAAATTGTACTTTTAAGAAAACTAGAGCTGGGCGTGGTGGCACATGCCTGTAATTCCAGCACTCGGAGGTTGAGGTAGGATTGTAAATTCAAGCCCAGCCTGGAACCTTGCCACTTAGACCTTGTCTCAAAAAGGGGAGTTGGTGGGAGGGGAGTTCAGTGTGAAGGCTCTGAGTTCAACTGAAGTACAAAAAGAAAAAAAAAAAACTTGCAACACAGGACACAAAGTTGCCCAAGATCATCCCTATCTGTGCTCCATATCTCCACTCCTCAAGCTTGTCTTTGCTCCGTAGGTTTGTCTGTTTTTTTCTTCTATGCCCATTATACCTAAATCCCTTCAAGATACAGTACAAAAAGTCCATAAGTTAACCTAGTCAATACAGGCCAGAAACCTGATTTTAAGATGAAGAAACAATTCAAAGAACATTTTAGGCAAAATCTCACCCATCTCTAATAACACTTACCTACCCCCATCCCCACACCACCATAACATGCCTTTCCCTTGAGTATTCATGCTGTATTTTCTCTGAGTGTGTATTCTTATTTTGTGTAATAAAATCTCTCCATGCCTCTCACTGACATACCTGAGGGTGAGTTGGTGATCTTTGGGGAACTCCTCAGACCCCTTTCCAAGACACTAGGACTGGAATGTTCCTGACTCAGCCCTCGGCTCCATCTTGGTTTCCTCCTCCGTCCCCTATACCAGCAATGGTGAACTTTGTAAGCTTTCACTGATAACAAGCAGCCATCACTAATTATCCACTTGTAATTCATTATAGGCAGCTGGAACCCTGTCATTGTTATCTTCCCCAAGTGGGCATCTAAGCAAAGATAGTCAATTTTATTCACTTTTATGTTGCTTCTTTATAGCCAGCCAGTTCGTCACCAAAAACCACATCTCTCAAAATGATCTCTGACTGCAAAAACTCAGAGATCTTGCTAGTGGGTTTCCATAGAAACCATTTCTGAAAACAAAAAATGCAACTCTGTTTTGGCTCTAGTGCTACATGAGTCCTCCAACTTCTTGCTGCAATATTAGGCCCTCCAGGGGCTGCTGTAAATGTCCTTTTTCTGGGGTCTCAGGTGCCTGTAATTATCACCTTCAGCTTGCTCCTATTTCTGTCATATCTCACGACTTCAGAATGAAATTTCACAGGCTATAATCAGAAGAAATTTGAGACCCATTTTCTCTGCCCAACAATGCAGAAGCCCATGTGAGCTTTATCTTATTTTGCTGAATTTATAGGCTTACATTTTTAAGTTGAACTTCATGCTGCTTTTCCTGTTAAAGAAAACTCTCACTAGCTAGGACTTCTTATGTAGTTCCAAAGGCCATGAATAGCCATCCTGAGTATTTCTGGATCATCTGGGGCCATCACCGTGCTTCCTTTACTGCCCTTGAAAACAGCAAGGTGCTGGTCAGAAAGCAAATTCCAGGCCCCACACAAGTCCAACAAATCAAAATTTGCTTTTTCAAGTTCCCCAAGTAATATCAGTGAATTCTAAATTTTTTAACCTTCTGCTACAAAGACAGTAAGTGTAGAATTGGGGCAATTCTACTGGTAAGTGATGTTCTAAAACCTTGCTGCTCACCATATAGCAGACACGTCCAGCCTCACCTGGAATCCTGTTAGAAATGCAGAATCCTCATGTCCACACACAGCTATAAATTAGGATCTACATTTTAACAAGGTCCCCTGTTGATTCTATGCACAATTAAAATTGTGTAAAATAAAATTCTGTGAAATTAAATTTTGTGAAATAAAACTGCTCCGAGAGCCTTTGGCCTGAAAAGTTAGGTAATGAAGACCAAATTCATTTCTCTTGCTTGAATCACTTGGGTAATTGCCTCTACAGTACCTTCCCTTGCTTTTTATAAGACAGAGCTTTAGGCAAAAGCCATCTTTAATAGGAAGATTTCAAGAGATGTGTGGTTCCCCAGGGCTGCCTCTGGAACTCTGTTTTAAGGAAAATTCTCAGAGGACTGCTGAGGAAGAAGGCAGCCCCCAGGCATCACAAACAGTTGCTACCAGAGACTGAGCCTGCCTCTAGAAAGGCCACACAATCACCTCCTTGCCTGAAATCCTCCAGGAGGCTGAAATCCTCCACGGTCACAAAGTAAAGCCACACTGCTACATTTGTATTCCTGTTTAATTCTCCAAAAATCTTGAATAAGTGCTAAATATGAATTAAGAGAATAATAAATTGTTCTAATTGCCAGCCTGGACTCTCCTCCTGCTAAATTGCAATTTCACTTTCCTCTCAATATAATCAGTCATTATCCAGCTGTTAGGTTTGGATCAAAATTATTTCCCAAAACCACATGCACTCACAGGTGGAGTGTTTAGAAGGCAATGGAGTCATGAGGACAATATACAGTGGAACCTTGACTTATGAACTCAATCAGTCCTTGAGGTCTGGTTGTACCTCAGGGTTGTTGTAAGTCAGTACAGCTGAGATCTGAATGTTTATCTGCTACATGCTATAGCTAACAAGAGGTTAATCTTCCATTAAAGTAATTAATCCAAGTTGTTCGGAAGTGAGGCCAGTCTAGTCATAACTTGCAGATCCACTGTACTTTGAAAGCTGTGAAACATTTTACAATTTTACTTATTTTCAGTACTAGACATGGAACCCAGGATCTCATGCATGCTAGGCAAGCTATCTAACACTAAGTTATAATCTCTGTTTCCCATAAATGTTATTTTTTATACATATTGATGAGCTTTAATTCACAGCTGTCAGACTTTTTTTTAAATGTTCCTGGACCCTGATTTTCTCCCTCTTGTGATCTACTAATAGTGATATCCATCTCAGATCTACACCTGATACCTGTGTACCCTGCCAGACACCACCCTTCCACACTGAGCTGCCACCCTTCATCTTTCACCTCCCAGCCAAACTTCTGTAACACTACACCTCTTGTTCTAGTGCCCTCACTGACAGTACATTTTGCAAATGAGATCCTTTGGGCTGAAAGATCAGATATTTCTCTGAAGTCTAGACACGTTCCATGGAGACTACTCCATTTATTATTTATGCATGGTCTGCCATTTAGTCACCCCGGGTCTTCATGATAAAAGCTTGCTCCCTCCCCCTTAGATGATATAGATTAACAAATCAGAAGTCCCTGGCATTGGCATAGTGCTTTGCTTTTACTAGTCTGTCACGGGCAAGATCTTATTTGGACTTTCATGAAAGACCCATGAGATCCCCTGGGCTGGATTTGAACTCATTATGTAAACCTTGAAACAATTCTCTCCCATGTCATCAGCTAATAAATGACAGACATTGATCAAACAGAAGTCTTCAAGCTTTTGCCACAAACCCAGGATGCCTTTCAGCATGATTGAAGGCAAAGGTGAAATACAGAGCAGAAAATGGGGTGTAAAGCAGAACCCCTCCCTCAGTGTCAGGTCTTACCACAAATGCATGAACATATTCCTACCCTGGACTCCAAAACACTAGTTTTGTATTCGTACCTATTACATTCTGATATCCCATTTTACATATTATTTAGCCTGTGTTGCTTTGACAAAAATATCTGAAACCAAGTGATTTATAAAAAACACATTTATTTTCTCAACGTTCTGGCTTACAAATCCATGATCAAGGCAACAGCAGACTCAATCGTGTGTTTCCAAGACTAGCCTTGCTGATGCTGTATCCTCACAGGACAAAGGGCAAGAGTTAGCCCAACACTCTGTGAATCCTCTTTTATACGGGCCTTAATTCCCCACAGCAGGAAAGAGTCTTCATACTCTAATCAACTCTTGAGTCCTCGCCTCTATCACATTGGCCACACCTGAGGTTTGGAGGGCATTTGTGCAAACCATAACACATACAGTATCTTTCTTTTACTGGTTTCTGAACTCCTAGAGGTAAGTATTTTTATATTTGTTGCCTCAGAACCTAAGACAGGATCTGACACTTGGTTTTATCCTGTGAATACCTATTGGATGAATTTCATGTGTTTACATTGAAATTAAACAAAAACACTGCATTATATTCACCGTGCTCCAATATATGAACCTTGTCTTTGCTCAGGCTGCTTTAACAGGGTACCACGGAGTGGCTTAAACAACAGAAATTACAGTACAGTGGACCTTCAAGTTATGACGGGCCTGACATATGAACAACAATCTGGGTTAATTAGGTTAATGGAAGATTTATCTGCCTCTTGTTATCTATAGTGTGTACTCAGGTAAACATCCAGATCTTAGCTGTCTTGACTTACAACCAACTTGAGTTCTCAACCAGCCATTGAGAACCAATTGAGTTCGTAAGTCAAGGGTACACTGTTTTTCTCACAGCTTTGGAGGGTGGGAAGTCAGAGATCAGAGGAACAACATGGTTGGGCTCTGATGAAGGTTCCTTCCTGGCTCCCTTGAATAGTATAAACACAGTAAGCGAGTGCTTTCCTGTCTTTTCTTGTAAAGACACTAATCTCTACAAAATCTTGACTAATCTCTGACAAAATCTCTACCTCATGATCTATTGAGCTCCCTAAAGCCCCATATAACATCACATTGGTGATTAGGGATTCAATGTATGAATTGGGGCTGGAGGACACTAACATTCAGACCATTACAAAGTCCAATTTAGAAAAATTTACCTAAATCCATCTCAGTCCATAATGAAGTTAAACCTATAGCTTTAACATTAAAGCTCAGTCTTATGTGCTCATCTAGATATTATAGCACAGAGACTAAGAGTCAGATGAGCCCAGATTACCTGTATTTGAACACTGGCTCCATTAGTTGGGAGGTCCCTGAGTAAAGTACCTTATCTCTCTGTGCTCAGATTTCCTTATGTGTAAAGTGAGGAGAAAATATGTCACTTATCTCTTGGGTTTGAGAGAATTAACTGAATTCACACTTACAGTGCCCTTGAGCACACTAATAAGTATTAATTTTACTATCATCAGAGTCACCATTTTCCATTTAATTTTGGTTCTTAGGCCAGCAATTTCCAAAACTTATTTTAATATTAATATTATATGTCAGATAATGCCACATTTTACCTTTGTTCTTATTCTAGTGTCAGCAAATGATGTCAAATCATGTAATATCGCACCTATCCAAACACAATACCTGTGTTTGTTTAGTAGCTTTGCTTGACACCATTCTAGGCTCTGATTTACAATGTCCAATATAGGATATGGCCAGAGAAACTTACATTTAAATTAATTAAAATTAAATAAATCAATTTAGAAGCTGAGACCTTATCTCAAAATTTCAAAACATTTAAAAAATCCAAAAAGGGTGGAAGATGTAACTCAGTGCAATGGTTCTGGGTTCAATCCCCAGTAATGCCAAAAAAAAGTTAAAAATTCAGTTCTTCAGTTTCACTAGGCATATTTCAAGTACTGAATTGCTGAATGTGGCTAGTAGCTACCATACTGTTAGTACAGAAAAAGAAAGTATCCGTGTCAGAAAGTTCTGCTGGATAAAACTACACTACATATACAGGAGACTGACATCTTCTGTTGGGAAGATGGATGACAAAGAAATAAACAAAAATGACTAGTTAATTTTTATGAATAACACATTGTATTCAATTACTGAAATATGATAATAGAAAAATTATTTTATATATAATTCCAAATGGAACTGCAATATAATTAAATATAAAAAAACCCCATGCAGTTAAGAAGCAGATAGGTGGAGAGCTCTTAAACAAAAATAATCTT